CTAAAACGAGGGTATTGCTTGATACATTAGGTGTCAAAGATTCACAATCCTTTTCAATTCTGTGAGGTTAAATTCAATTAATTTGATACTTGTGTATCAGGGGGTAGAAGATATGAAACAATGAAACTGGAAATCTCTAACTTTTGCATCAGCATGCTAAGTTTATTCTCTCTACTCATCTTTCAAAAAAAAACAAGAAAAACAACAAAAAAAAAAACAAAAAAACAACCATTTTTATCATTTCCATCAGATTAACCATTAGATGCAACAAGTTGTTATGCTAAAAATTTGTAAAAGCCTTTTTATGGAGAAGTATACATGAGTTAAAGGAACTAGTGTAGTAAACTTCAAATCTCTTCTATAGAAGATAGTGCATCACTGCTAGGTAGTATACTTACTTTTTGGTGATATAATTAAGCATTTGACAATTTATTTATTTATTTGTTTATTTATTTTAGAGTAGAAGGACATGCTAGAGAGCTGATGAAATTGGCATTGATTTAAATTGGACTGTCCTTGAACTAAAATGCCTTGGCACCAAGGCATCAAGTTACCAAAGTTGATTTATAAGGGTTAGACAATGCTTTCACTCGATTCAACTTGATGCTCACAATAATACTCTTTTTGTCTTTCACATATTTCTTCACAAATTCTTTTATATGTTTTCCCTTGACATGAGTTGCCTTGTAGTTATGCACCAACATATTGAATATGCTATGTTCTACATTGTTGTTAGTATCTTATAGTTCTTGCAAAATCAAGTTTAGTTGTTTTTGTCAATCGTAACTTACAAATAGTTGTTATTGATATACACATTCTAAGTGTTTCTTTACATGCTTCATTGAGATTGGTGATATTGATGGATGGGTTGAGATGGTTTATGTACTCGTTGAGATGGTATTCTAAATAGAATTTATAAGTTATTAATGTTTTTCTACACATATATATACATACATATATCTATGTGTGTGCGCTTGTAAAATTAATTAGTTCTAATTTGGTTAGGTGACAACAATTTCTAGTCCTCTTGAGATGGCAGCTCGACATCAAGTATGGTCCTCGTCATTGATACAAGATGCCTCTCTTACTCAGGTACCCACTAAGAGCTAATCATATATATCACATTACTTCCAGCTTTATTTTAGAATAGCATGCAAAACTTGTCTTACAATTAACCAAGGAATGAATATTGTGGACCTAAATTCCATTGTTTGAATCTACACAAAATGTGCTATATAGTAAAAATCATGACATAACGAACACTACAAAAAGTTAAGGTTTTGGGGACCAAAATTCAGGGACAATTATTTTTTAGGGACCAAATATTTTTGTTGCAAAAAATATCATTATTATATTTTTAGCAACGAAAATTGGACATTAACGATGAATTATTATCTATTTGGGACCAAATTTTTTGTCTCAAAAAATAAACCATTTTGAGACTAAATTATTTTATCCCTATAAGTCTATTTATTAGTGACACTTTCAAAATTTTGTCGCTAAAAGCCTTATTTTTTACTTTTTGGTACGACTTTTTAGCGACTGTCCTCACGATGATAGAAATTGGTCCCAAAATGTCTTTTGCAACAAAAATTTTACTTTTAGAGACTAAAATATTTGGCCTCTAAAACTCTTATATGTTGTAGTGGAAACTTGGATTTTTTTTTTTTTAATTTTCTTGTGAAGTTTCTACAAGTCATCTCTAAATCATTTATTACCGCATGGACTCTTTCTGATTCCCTCAAAATAATTAGTTGATTGTCATTTTTCACAATTACATTTGATTTACATTGTTGAGTTTAGGGGATCCTGATATTGGTAATGGGCATGGTTTTGATTGCTGTTGATTGGTGCCTTTGATTGTTATTGATTTTTAAGCTATTGTTTGCTATGGTCTAAAAACTTACGATTGTTACTTTTATATATTTTTTGTAGTGTGGTGAGTCAATTAAATGATTAAATCATGTGGCTTGCTTATCTACTAGAGAAATGAATATCACTTTTAGTTGTGATCATCTTCACTCTGACACTTTGTACTAGTTTATTATTTAAATATTATTTATTAATTTTAAATATATAATTACCTAAGTAGTTAAATCTTGATTTACAGGTGGGAGATATAGTTCTAAAAAGTATCATTAGGCCAACAGAAACAGTTGCAATCGGAGTACTTAAAAGCACAGACACATCTAAAGAAGTAGAAGGGGAAGAACTAGAACCTGACTATTGGGAGGTCTATGTTCAAGTGCCAGTCAAACCTAATGAAAGCTCAATCCGATCATATGGACTTGTCAAAACAATTGGACAAGCTATTGGAGCTTATGTTGCTTAGCTTGCTCCATTTGTGATATATGTCTTTCGTAAATACTAATTTCATTAACAAATTATATTAATTTAATATAGTTTCAATTGCCTTTATATGTTTATCTTTTGAATGCAAATTTCGCAAGTTATGGATGCTAACTGAGAATATTTATACAAGTGAGGTTGAGAATATAGGAACTGAATTTGTTTTGATAATTTGTCTCTTCAGAAGATGGATATCACTGCGGCTTTTCAGAACTTATGGTTGGAATAATTTTCTTTTAATTTTTTTTTCTTTAACTTTGTTAGTGTGGTAGAATATTTTATAATTTTGATTATGATTTATATTGCAATATAAATAAATTTATATTTTTAGATAAAAAATTAATTGTGATTTGAATTTTTTTTGTTTTTGATATAATGATCATATGGTGGTAATAGTTGTTTATTATTATGAAAATATTACAGGATGAATGGATGTCAAATTAATATAGGATGTGGCAATTAATATTCAATTGTTTATAAAGTCTATTCAATTTTTATAGACATTTATGCATGTTTAGTTGTGGCTTTTAAAAATGTCAATGAAATGAACATATAAGTGGCATGTTATAGCAGTAGTAATAGCTTTGTAAAGTGTAACTAGAATAAGTTCCAGCAGCACTCATATCCATTTAATGGCACAAATGAATTGGATTTAGTGACATTTATGAAGTTGTTAAAATATCAATTGTAGCATAACAAGCGCCATTAAAAATTCATATAGTGGCATTTTTTAGATTATAAGTCTTCTTTAATGATACTTGATAGCGTCACGAATAGTGTCTACCATGATATTAAAATGTCACTGAAAGTTTTTAATCCTGATGGTGTAATGGCACTTACAAGTGTCATTGAAGTGTCACTCAATCTTTTTTTAATGACACTTGATAGTGTTACAAATAGTATCTATCATGACATCAAAATGTCATTGAAATTTTTTAGCCATAATGGCGTAGTGGCACTTGCAAGTGTCATTGAGGTGCCACTAATATTTACCGTGGCACGGGTATAAATAGCACTTGTTTAAAATGTCACAAGACTAAAAATGTCATTAGAAGAATAATTTTGGGACACTTTTAAATGTCACTAAATTAAAAAAATGTTCTAGTGACACTTTTTAGTGTGAATAATATACAAAATATAATTAATTTATGTGAATCCTATATCTAAGAAGTATAATGTGGCCCCTAAACTATTCTACACCAATCAAAATGCATGTATTATTTAAATACTAATAAACAGACTCTACTTTCGGGAGTTTCATTTAGACTATAAAATGACGGAAAAATTATAGAGGTTCAACTTGTGGGGTTTGAACCTAAGCAACCCAAGCTCAAGTCGAATTTTTTTAAGACTTAGGCAAAATATTTTTGAATTCGGTGTTGCTAAATATATATATAATAATAATATTTTTAGCAACAAAAATATTTCGTTCCTAAAAAATAATTGTCCCTTAACTTTTGTCTCAAAAACCTTAATTTGTGATGGTGTGAACGAAAAGTAAATTTGTTTGGGTGGAAAGCGTTTTCAACCTCCGTCACTATGACCGCTAGTGAAATTACTAGAACATTTAATTTAAAGGTTATGACCAAAGATGAGAATGTTTTTTACAAATAACACTTCGTGAAAAGTGAGCGTAAATGTCAATTTCCGACAACAGTTTAACAACCATTAAAGAGCAAGAATTATATTGACATGCAATTTCAAAGAAAAGGCACAACGAAATGCTGGTTTTAAAAGGGATAAATGGTAATTTAGGCACACAATCTTAGTTGGAACACCTTACATGAACACATTGTTGATATATAATATAGTCAAAGCAAAGGAGAAAAAGTGAGAGTTATTTAAGCAATAGATTAAAGGTTGCTGATGAAGATGATTAACGATCACATGAACACTTATCGAAGAGGCAAGCATAATTAACATAAAGCCACCACTTGTACTCTCTACTGACTGGTGGGAGTGGCTAACCATTCTTGGAGGACATTGGAAGTAACCTTGATCAGTAAAAAAAATAAACATGCTTAGTTCACTTACCCCCAAAAAAAAAAAAAAAAAAAAAAAAAAAAAAAAAAAAAAAAAAATAAACTTTAGTCTACTTACTCATAGTTGGAACATGAATAGATTACAATAAAAAATATAAAGAAAAGAAAATGAGAAAATGAAATTGAGATGCTTCAAAAGAAGAACGATGTATTTTGGTAGAGTAATGTTATATGTAAACGAGTTTCTTATCAGACTTTCTTACCACTAGTCACAAATTTAGTAAGATCCATATTAATAACTATAGGTGGAATTCATGTCTTTGTATTTAGTGATAAGAAATTCGAATAAAAAATATATTTTGAGTATAGCATTCTCTATTTCGGTATGCATATGCATCGGTCGAGAGGGTATGCCTCACACCTTTGGTTTTCATGTTAAAAACCTCTTCCAACTTCCTAGTTTTGGTTCAACCCTTCATTCGTGTAAATATTTTTGATCTTATGCAATTCGCTAATAACACTCCCCATTTCCATTCGATCTGTTGGCGATTCCATTGAACATGCAACCCCAATTCGTAGAACGGAAACCATGCAGTCTTTCATCCACCTTCTTGTGTTGTGCTCCAATAGAATACAGGGATGCACAATCTCCATCACTCGATCAGGTAATGCATTCTTAACGAAGTAATGAAGATTTAGATGATTCTTAAACATATCATCAGTTGGTCTCAAACCTGTAAACATTTCCAGTAAAAGAATCCCAAAGCTATATACATCCCCTAGTGTGGAAGCCATGTCCCCTATGCCATACTCTGCAAATTGTTACTAATGTTAGTGTGAAAAGTGAGCCTATAGTTAGTTGACATATGTATAATAATTTTTGTAAGGCAATTTTAATGTTGTATGATGACCTTAACCTCAAATCTCTCAATAACAATATTTTTTGTTGGTGCGTGCGAGTGACTGAGTGAGATCATTGTTACGATTCACATAGTTTAATTTTATTTTTCATTGAAGCAAACAGAAATTAGTCTTGCATGGAAAGGTATATCAAAATCAATATACAAGTTTCCAAGAATTGAGTAAGATATTGGAAAATGCTTTGGTTCCGAAGCAATATAATAATTCTTTCAACAAGTAGATACCATGTACTATTTTGATTCGGTTGAACTTTCATACTAGAATTACATAAATAATTTATTTTATTTTTTTAAAGGAAAAATAAGAAAGACAAGACATAACAAAGGAGGCGACATAGAGTATTAACTCAGGTGGAAGCACACATTGGGAGCATTCAGAAATGACAGAATATGTATAAAAAAAAAAAAAAATTCTTTGAAAAGATGTAGGTGCCCACTATTTTGTAGAAACCCATGGTTTTTTGTATGGTTGTTTATGCTAAAATAATTCTACCATGCAAGCTGTATATATATGTATGTGTGTATATATATTACTTTTCCTATTGCAAGTTGAGTTTTTCTACTCCAAGGAAATTGAAAAGATTTTGTACCTGGAGCAACATAGCCTATGGTTCCCTTTATCGGAACTGAATTGCTTTGACCCTGTGCCACATCACTTGAAACGGTAGAAATAATTTTTGCTAACCCAAAATCTCCAATATGGGCTGTCATCTCATCATCCAAAAGAATATTACTTGGCTTTAGATCAACATGAATAATTGTCGACTCACAACCACAATGAAGATACTTAAGTGCAGAGGCAACATCAATGGAAATGTCCAGCCTCTGGATTAGTTTAAGATTTCTAGGTTCTTTGAGCTGCTCATGGTCTCCCACGTCAACTTGATGCAACCAGTTGCCCAAGTTTCCATTAGCCATAAATTCATATACCAAAGCTTTGAATTCATTACCATGGAAATCCACACTGGAACAAACGCTCAAAATTTTCATTAGATTTCGGTGCCTTATGGCTCTTAGTGCCTTGCATTCTGACATGAAGCTCTTAGAACCTCCTCTGGTATGAAGATTGAGAACTTTCACTGCGACAACCATCTGAATGTTATCAAGAATCCCTTTGTAAACTGAAGCATAGCTCCCAACACCAATTAGATTAGCCTCTGAGAATCCATTGGTGGCTTTGAGAAGCTCTGCATAAGAAACCCTCAAAAATCGATGCATGATTGATGGCGTGCAAGAGGCATTCTTTTTTGAAACACGATGTCGTTGAAGAAATATAAATATAAAGAAGCTAACTAACAAACATAAAAATATCACAACACCAACCACCACTGGGATCACTATCATTTTGTGAGACAACTTATTCTTGCTTGATTTGGAGGATGGACAAGGAGGAAGGTCTAATTCAGCAATTCCTCCACAAAGATCATTATTTCCTACAACTGAAATCGCACTCACATTTTGAAACACTCCTTGTATTGGAACTTGTCCACCTAGCCTATTAAAAGACAAATTCAAGATATCTAGTTGAAACTCACCTAGATAACTTGGGATAAGCCCCGACAAATTATTTAGCGAAAGATCCAACACTCTTAAACCCCTCATCAATCTTAAACCTTGAGGTATCTCTCCCACAAATGAATTAGCCTCCAAGTGAAGCCATTCCAGACTCAAACAATTGCTTAGAGTGTTTGGTATGGGTCATGATAATTTATTATAGGACACATCCATGTTTGCAAGGTTTTTCAAAGACTCGATTTCTGATGGAAGAAAACCGGTTAGTGCATTGTGATCTAACGTGAGGGATGTTGAAATGGAGGAGAGACTCATAATTTCAGGGGGTATTGAACCATTGAAATTATTTTTATAAAGGTCTAATTCCAACAAGCTATGACAATTGCCCAAACTCGGAGGTATGCTTCCATGGATATTGTTTTGTCCCAAGTTGAGTGTAATCAACGAAGTCAAATTACCAAGCGAAGATGGAAGTTCTGTGAATTTGTTCTGGGCTAACAACAGAGATTGTAGATTATGAAGTCTGCCAATGGAGGATGGAATAGGGCCAGCAAGATTATTCATTTCCATAGATAAGGTAGTGAGGTTGAGGAGGTTCCCGATGCTAGTTTGCAACTGACTAGGTATTTGATTAATCTGCAAACCTATCCAACCAAGATGTGTGGAGAGATTAGCTATGGAGTCAGGCAATGAACCTCTAAAAAGATTGTAACCCGCACCAATAAATTGTAAACTGGTGCAATTTGTTAGAGATGAAATAAAAGTGAGGTCATCCTGCAACCGATTTTGGAAAACACCTATCCATCGAAGACCCAGAAGTTTTCCAAGATCTCTCAGCATTGTCCCGCTGAAATCATTTGCAGGGAAGAATATATTTTCAAGTTCTGAAGCATTTGACAGTGAAGTAGGAAGTGTTCCAGTAAACAAATTTTGCGAAAAATAAAGAAACTTGAGATAAGGAAGTGTGGAGCCTATATCAGGAGGAATATTTCCTTCAAGTAGGTTAACACTTACTGATAACAAAATGATGGTGGAGATATTGTAAAGGCCAGCTGGAACTTTGCCAGATAGGTTATTCCCCCTTAACCAGACACGTATCAGGCCTTGAAGCCTAGTAAGTTCCGCCGGAATCTTCCCATGCAAATTACATTCTGATAAAGAGAGAATGGAAAGAGATAAGAGGTTTCCAATGAAAGGAGGGATGGTTCCTGAAAGCTTGTTTTTACTCAAGGCTAAAGTTCCAAGCCATGACAAAGAGCCCAACTCGGCTGGGATGATTCCGGCTAGGTTGTTGTCGACCAAGTTCAGCCATTCAAGTTTTGAGCAGCGAGAAAGGTTGTTGGGTATTCCACCGCCAAACGAATTGTTGCTGAATTCTAATTTTTGTAGCCGAAACAAGCGACCCATCTCTTGTGGGATTGGGCCGTGGAAGCTATTGTTTTGAAGAACAATACTTTTGAGGAAGGAGAGGTTTCCCATATGAGGTGAGAGCGATCCAACCAGGCCTTGGGACATTAGAGTTAGCCCAATAACTCTATC